CAGCCCTTATACACTCTCACTGGGTTGAGACGGGAGGTGCGGGCTCCGGGGTGGGAATGAGGGATTTGGGTGTGGGAAGGGGTGAGAAGTGCAAGCTCTGGGAGGGAATTTGGATGCAGGAGAAGGGGATGCGGGCTCAGGGACGGGGCTCCAGGCTGGGGAGTGTTGGGCTCAGGTGCAAAGTTGGGGTGCTGAGCAAGCCACAGGCTTGTGGACGTGAGGGTGCAGGAGTTTGGGTTGGATATGTGAGGGACTCAGGGCAAGGAGGTTGTGAGTATGATGGGCTCAGGACACAGATTTGTGATGTGTGGATGGTGCAAAACTGAGGATATGGCAGAAGACTGAGGATGTGGGGATGCAGGAGTTTGGGGATGTAAGAGGCTCAGGACAGGGGGTTCCAATATATCACAGGCTCAGATTTGGGGTCAGGTGGTGCAGAAGTGTTATGATGCTGCAGTAAGATGGGGGCTTGTTGGCCAGGCTTCATTTTAAATAAAATATTATGTCAAACTCAAAAGGTTTTAGCATTGTCTTTATTTATGAGAGGGGCGGGGGACCTCCTTTGAGTCAAGGGTCACTGATCCACAGAAAAGTCAGTTGGGGCCACACAAGTGAGACGCAAAAAAACCCCCAAGTCCCATTAATGTGGTCCCTACTGTGCTGGTGGCGTCAGGGGACAGGGTGCTGGTGGGTGCTGGGGCTGGTAGAGGGGTGTTGGGGTGGGTGGCAGCACAGGTTACTGAGTATTGGGGCAGGATGCTGGGGCAGGTAGCAGGGTGCTGGGGTTAGGGACATGGTCCTGTTGGGCACTGGGGTGGGTGGCAGGGTGCTGGGGCCAGGGACAGGTGCTGCTGGGTGCTGGGGACAGTGCTGGTAGGGGCAGGGGACAGGGTACTTGTGGGGGGGTCTGGACAGGGGCATCTGGGACCAGTACCTGGCAATCCTGCAACACCTCTGGGTTCCGGGAAGTGTGCAACTGCACTTCCCCTCCCCAAACAGCTGGCGCGCGTGCGCGCTGCCTGAACTGCAGGGGCTGTTGCACCCCAGGAACTTACTTCCGCGATGCTTCCTGTGGGGGTCCGGGAAGTGTGCAACTGCACTTCCCCTCCCCAAACAGCTGGCGCGCGTGCGCGCTGCCTGAACTGCAGGGGCTGTTGCACCCCAGGAACTTACTTCCGCGATGCTTCCTGTGGGGGTGGGAGGTGCGGGGAGTCCCAGGGCAGAGCACGCTGCCTGCACAGCCCCAGGTCTCCTGACCTCCCCACCCCCCCGCACCGCGCAGAAAGGCCATGGAACTAAGTTGCCGGGTGCCACAGCCCAAGCAGTTCAGGCAGCGCGCACCAGCTCCTTTGGGAAGGGGAAGTGCTTCCCGCCCCGCTGTGGGTCACATGGGGTCACCCCTGTCTGGCAGCCTCCTAGTATGCTGGCTGGGAGCAACTGTTCCTCTCTGCCCCCGCCTTGCTACGCCTCAGCGTTGCCAGGGTGGAACGGGAAACAAGTGTTCTGTTTCTTTAAGAAGTTGGCTAACCGGCTCTCTCTCTTTCAGAGAGGGTGGGGGAGTGCTGGCTCCTCGCGGAACCCCTGCTTTCACTTCGCGAAACCCCAGGGTTCTTCAGAGCACCAGTTGGGAAACAGTGGATTAACCAATAAACACTTATAGGTTAATGCTATAGACTACACGCATTTCCTCCCCACTGTAGGAACTTCATTTCCCTGAATGCCTGTAACTAGAGCAACAGAAGCATTCTGCAGTTTGGCAGGTTGACATGACTGATGCTCAGGTGATGAATTTTCCACATCTCTGAGCACCATAGCGATATTGAGCTAGCTTCTGAACATGAACTAGGCCTAAGGTTCTTATTTAGATTGCTCAGCTGGTGGTGTGAGTGATGAAAATTGTAACATATGCAAGTGTTTTTGTCTTCACTGTCATGTTAACTCTAGTTATTACTAATTTTGTCCCAACTTGAATCTTAGAAATGTACAATAACTTTTAACATGAGTTGGCCCATCAAGGACGGTAGAGTACAACTTGACATCTGCTAACAACATGGTATCCAACTATATATAGTAGCTACTGCTATAGCGAACTAGCCACGCTCAACTGCCATATAGCCACGTGGCTAGTGGCTAGCGCGTTGGACACCATGGTGCTAGCACAGTCACTGACTGTGCCACTTGAGTTTTGTTTAGCAGTGTTGCTTGTCTCTTGAATTATCTGCACTTAATTCTGCAGTGAAAAGGTACTCTCTCAACATCACTTGAGAATTTGTCCTTTTCAATTAGTGTAAATATTTACAATGGCGTTTTTACTGCTCTCTGTTTTTGCTTCAAGTTTTTATTATCTGTTGGTCTGTAAAAAAATCCTCTCTGGACCAGAGGAAATACTACATTTTTGGCTTTTTAAATAAACACTGCCCCTGTTTTATAAATAGTCCACTCTTCTTAGACTCTGCAGAAATGTAGACTGTAGTGACTAGTTAGAGTGCAAGTGACTACTAACCATTTACACTCAGCCTCTTGGGGAGGCAGTTTCACTGTGGCAATGCAGCAGAGGCTCCTCCCTGGGAGCACAGTGGGAAAGGGATGCCCTCTCTGCTCTCGGGGAGGAGGTTTCATTGCGGTAATGAAGCCATCTCCCCAGTAGCAGAGCCGGGAGGGCTAGCAGCCCCTCTCCCAAGGAGACTTTGCTGTGGGCTCTGCAGTATAAAGCCTGCAGCACATATAACTGTGTAACCCTTGAGATTTTCAGTGGTTACATGGTTACCCTATTACAAAATCCCTAATCTAGACTTCTTCAATCAAGTGACAATTCTACATACCTCTTCTAGCTGGAAAGCAGCAGAAGCTCAGGGACTGTTTTACTTTCGCTTTCAGCTCAAGCACCAAGAAGAGTCATGAATGATTGCTCTTCCTGTTGCAAAAATAGATCAGACTTTTCTTCAGATTATCTGCAGACATTCAGTGCATGTTTTCAAATTAACTTTCTCCAGAACCGAGTGTGGAGAAGAGGAGGGAAATCATAGAAAGTAAAGCGGAAGGGACCTCAAGAAGTGATCAAGTCCAGCCCCTTGCACTGAGGCAGGATCAAGTAACCTAGACCATCCCTGACCAGTTTTTCTCCAAATTGCTCTGAAAAACCTCCAGTGATGGGGATTCCACAGCCTTCCTTGGAAGCCTATTACAGAGCTTAACTATCTGTACAGTTAGAAGGCTTTTCCTAATCTCGAACCTAAATCTCCTTTGCTGCCTGTTAAGCTGGTTACTTCTCATTCTACTTTGAGGGGACATGAAGAACAAAAAGCTTAATATATTTGAAGACTATCATTCTGCCCTGGTAGAAGTTACTATTTAAATAATGAAGAAACTGTGTTTTTTGTTTATACTTGGTGACCTGTTGTCATATGGTAGAAACAAAACCTAAAATCTGGCAATAAAACAATTATTTTGGTAGACTGTAATCTCCTTGTTGGATGGAAACAACCTGAAATTAAGACTGTACTCTTCCGCGTTTGACACGGGCTTGTTTTCAGATTGTTTAAGACTCTTCCCTTTTTCGCTCTGGAGAAGGGCAACTCCTAAACTGGAAATCTTATCCTCAGTGGGAGGGAGGTATTAAATAGAGCAGAAATGAAGTGGGTATTTTCTGAACAGGGACAATACTTACCCTTGCATAGGAGGTTGCAGTGTGAGGGGTGAAGTTAAATATAGTAGTGTCTGGAAAGTACCTGCAGGCCTGTGCTAATAGGCACTGTATTTATACATGCATTTTCTGGTCAGAATTTAAATAATACTTTATAAGAATGATATTCTGAAGAATCCCTGCTTCTTCGGGCACCAATTGCAGCATGTCCCATCTGAAAAAGTAGTGTGTCTGCACCTTCTTCCAAACCAGAAGGAGCTTTTCAGAGTGTCACAGCAAGGGAAAGGAGAATGCTCAGAGGTACAAGGAATACACTCAGGTTTTCAACGTTAACTACATACCTCTGTTTAGCTTCATGACTTCTACCCCAGACTTGACTAGCAACTTCTTCCATTTGTTTCTTCTGATAGTTTTTCAGGATTATGTGGTTTCTGTTTTAGAGAGTTACGGGCTACTAGGTGGTAGTTTTAAAACGCTGATGATGTATATTCAGTGGACTCCAGGCTCTTCACAAACTTCATTTAAAACCTCACAACATTTGTGGTAGGCAGAGCTAGGAAAATGAGGCAGTTTGGCAAAGCTGCGAATAGAACCCAGTCTCTGAAGTCCCAGCCCTATGCCGTAACCGTAAGGAAGTCTTTAATCTCTTTTTCTTTGAGTATCCTCAAAGTCTCTAACATATATCCCATGTGTTGGTTCTGTAGCCATACACGAACAGTTCAAACTCTGGTTCCAAAAATGTGTCAGTTCTCCCCATTTTTTGAGGTGGTTCTTTTTCCAGATTGTGGGCAGAAAACATTAGTGAAGAAGCTTGTCCTGCTGCAGCTGCATTAGTTCTTTGAATGTCCATTTAGTATCTTTCATCATAAGCACTAAAATAGTCTGCTGATGAGCTTAGAAATGCTATAATACATATTCACCAAAGAGACTGTCCCATAACCTTCTGCTGAGTCCTTTCTCATTGCATTACTCTGTTCCTTGGCCCCGGTAGAAGGAAATCCTGGAGTCAGAGATTATCAAATACTATTCTGAAAAGGAATGAGGAATCCTGTGGCACCTTAATGACTAATTCAGTCAGGGTGAATTGGCCTCATTACCCACCGATCCGCTACTTGATAAGGTAATTCATGTGCTAGTATATTTAGGCCTGCCTCCATAATTTCTACTCCATGCATCTGACAAAGTGGGGGTTTGCCCACAAAAGCTTATGTCCAAATAAATCTGTTAGTCTTTATGGTGCCACAGACTTGTTGTTGTTTTTTTTGTGCATATAGCCTAACAGAGCCGAGATAATTGAGACACAGAAAAAGGGAATTAATTTCTTATTTTAATCGGACTCTTCATTTGGGACTTTCAGGTTTATTGCCAAACCATGTGCCATAAAACTTGGCATTCAGGACGGTGGACCTCACAGAGCTCAGCCCAATGCAATTCTAGAGAAAGTGTTTACATCCATCACTAAGGTAAGTCACTTTTCAGGTTCTGCAAGAGGTTCAGGCACATAAATGAGAACTGGGCTGCTTTTCTTTTGTCACCTTAGGGCAATGTACTTCACAGCTCTCTGTTCTCTGATTGATGGGAATCTGTGCACAAAAATACAAGTGTCTCTGGATAACTTTTGCTTCTAGCTTTAGTTGAGATGACCATGTCCACCTCCTATCCTGTTTCCTGCAGTGACTTTAGTTCTGTCTGTGCTTTAAGCCACAGTGTTGCAAGCAAAAGAGTGGGTTTGATACTAACAAAATGAGAATAAGAGTTGTTGTTTTTTTTGGGCCCCTGAATTTCTGTACAAGGTATAATGCTCAAATTTTTAGTGTTCACCAAGAGCTTCTCCTACATTTTTTTTCACTCTCTCCTTGGAAGTTACCACTCTGGTCCCAAAGGAAGAATCTTTTGCTGGTCAGTCAGCAGCTGCCTTCTTCAAATTACTTCTGTGATTGTGGACTTGATGGCTTATCACTACAGAAATCTAGTTGTAGAAAGAAAGCAGTTCAGTCATAAATGCTGTTGAGGGATGTTGGTGGTAGATTGTTGAATGGTGGTAGATTTTCTTCTAGTTATTCCTCTCAGTTACTCTTTCATTTTAATATCTGCTTGTTGTGCTATTTCACTAGTAAATGACTGAATCCTGTAAAAATTTAAAAAGTCTTCCTCCTCTTCTAGGTGTGGGGGGGTCTTTTTGACAACAGTCACAAATCCAGCGACCTACGAAAGAAGAGTTGACATTCAGTGTTTTTATTCTTCCTGTAAGTCTTTAAAGTGCTACCAGACTACAGTAAACTTAGATAATCCGGCACCTTTAGGACCCAGAGGGTGCCGGATTATCAGATTTGCCGAACTATCGGAAGGGGGGGGGCTATGAGGGGTCTGGGGTGGGGC